CGTGGTTCATCTGGACATAAAGCTGTCACCCAGGGAATGACTGAACAAGGCTCAGAGCCAAGGCTCAATCCGAGACTGTCCTCCTGTAAAATACAACAGTACACATTGTTTGTGCCAGTGGGTTATTATGACAAAATGTTAAGTGTCATAGTCTGACAACATTTAGCAACAGCTACTTATTATGTCACAAGGAAAGTAATAAATATATAGAGGCTGAAGGTTGAAGGACTTGTTGCTCAGTTCTAACCTGAAGCCATTAGCAAATAGCCAACTCAAAGCTATTTTAAAATGACTGTTCATTACTAATGAGTGGGTTATTGTTTCTGAGTGCCTCTGGTAAGTGACATAATCCATATAGACATATAACTGCAATTTTTGCATAATGTATGTACATATATATGTTATGTACGTGTATAATGTACACAACCATATGAAAAGAATGTCAAAATGTGAAAGGGTTCACTCGTGGTGTTAAACCTCCAGAGAATTAGGTTGCATCTGCAGCTCCACATGACTTCAGGTTTCAGCTCTTTATTTTAATGTCCAGTCAACAACTTCACTGTTTTGGTTCATTCTATTTACAGCCATAGCTGCCTGCTATGGATGTAGAATGCAGTGGAGCACTTAGCAGCTATGGCTGTTTTTTGTTGCCCGCAAGTGGCCATAAAATCATAATTATTTAAGCAAGTTTAAGCAAATATTATAAACAGAATACATTTTGTTTAATAAAGTAACAAAGTTTGCTTCAAGCCAGTACTTCAGTTCACCTGGTTCACCAAATAAATAAATAAATAAATACAATGTTGCTGGTTTGGTATGTTCCTCTTGAACTTTTGGTGACTTCCATCCACTTCAAGATCATCTGGAAGAAGGCAAGACACTGTCTTACAGACAGAGATCCTTATTTCTGATTCATCCTGCTTTGGAAGCTGAAGTGCTTTGACACAAAGTTCTACTGAGGCAGGTAGCCCTCAGTACTACAGAAACAACTGAAGGCAAATCGAGTTCTGCCGACTGACAGTAAGTCATGAAGCACCTTTTCTGTATTCTCTCTCTCTAATGGCACAACTATTATTATTAGTCTTGACTGCAACTGGATCCCATGTCATAAATAGCAACAAACAGAAAGAAAAAACATCATAAAGATAATAAAAACTAAAGAAAGGGCTTGTTTTTCATGTTTTAAAGTCAAATACATTTGGGAACTGGGGTGTTTTGCTGCAATTTTGAAGATTTAAGCCGTTCTTAGTTTTCATTATTGAGACAATCATATAGGATTATTTTCCAAAGCAAAGGTTTTAGATAAACGAACCATCTAAATTCTCATAATTTGCTGTAAGAGAGGTTGGTCTGACTCTGAAATGTCTTAGACACAAGAGACTGAGATTTAGACGGTCATGTCTTTTCAGTGGCATAATGTTTAGCAGTTTATACAGTAGCAGACAAATCCTTGTGTGGCTTCATGAACACAATACTTCCCTAGGCAGCAGACTAAAATAGCAAGTTGAAGGCCAGTCCTTCAACTAGAGAACCTGTGTTCAGGTCCCACTATTGGCAAACATTTAACCTGCTGAAATGTCCTTGTGCAAGACAGTCACAGTCAGCTTCAGTCATGCTAGTCTGTAACTAACACTGACTTCTGATCTCCTTGTATAGTACTGGCAAAAGAAAAAGTAGCACGTTTGTATTACACTATTTATATTAAAATGTTATGACCAATATAGTACAGTATTATGTTACATCATCATTTAACCCTAATGATGATGTTTATGTCATTTAACATGCTGCACATCCATATTTCCAAAGGTGACAGTGGAGATAAAAAAATATTTTTCAAAATTGCTATTGTTGATAGATTCTAAATATAGCCTGAACACAACATAGCCCCAAAGAGAGCTAACGCCAGAGGTTGCCTGTTCGTGTCATGTCAATGTGACTGCACAGGAAAAAAAAAACATGAAAGGGAAACAAACCTCTCCTCTGTGGGTGGAAGTCTCAAGAACACTGCCATGGCCCTTCATCATCTCCTCTCTCTTCACAGCTACTTTCACTCTCTTCTCCGTGGCTGTGACAAATAGTGCAGACCCCAAGTTTTAAGTTCAACCCGTGTCTGAGGAGCAAAGCTGCATGTTTGAAAGTGAATCTTTAATCGCTACCACACATACTGTACAGTGGAACAGCTTACACTAACTGATATATGTACCGAACAGCATGGACTGAGACATTGTCTAAAGTAGTTCCAGTACAGTGATGAAATGAAAAGTCAATTAACTGATGAGTTGATCAGTAGAAAAGACTGATTAATTGTTTAAGCCATTTATCAAGGAAAAATATAAAACATTTAATGTTTCCACCTTCTCCAGTGTAAGGATTTGAACCGTGTTTGAACAGTCAGGCAACACAAGCAATCTGAACACATCACCTTAGGCTCAAGTAAATTTTGACAGACATTTTCTTGGGCTTCCCCCTAAATGTTGATTCAAATCATCAGTTGAGAAGCCCCTAAGTCAACTTTCATTTTGTCAGTCGAATCACAAAGCAGGACAGCACAGCTCATTTGTGCTTGCTGCTCCGATGCTCTCAGCTCTGGAACTGAACGTTAGTGAGGTCGGCTAAACTACGTGCTAACCTTTCATTCAGTCTGACTCCCTTTTTAGGTAATAGGCACTAAGCTGCAGGATGCATACTTATTTCCATGACCATGTGAAAATGTGTTACTGTCAGATCAGAAATGCAAAAAAAAACAAAAAAAAAAACATTAAACTATATGTCTTATACTGCTGCTGCAGGAGTTGAATGAAATGCATCTTCCCAACAAGTTGTTTTTGTAATTGTGGTTTAGATGTTTAGATGTATTGCAGAAAAAAACATCTACAGGATAATTTATGTCGACTGTGTCATCAACCATGACAACGCCACTCACTCCAAGGATAACACTGAGCTTCTGCAGCAGCTGCGAGCATTTTCTACTATTTTCTGATATTTTGTTGGCTATAAATTCAATCCATTAATTTGAAAAATAACTGAAAGATTGAGTGGTCATAGAATGTTACGTACAGTAGTATGATGGAAGGTAGAGGTACTGCTAAAGTACCTCTGTCTCACTCACACCTACATGTTATCATAGCACACGTGCATCAGCTCCATAAATATCGTTAGAAATCCCAGCACAAATACAGATGTCAGCTGCTCAGTTCTGATCTCCCACTGCCTATTCTCCAGCTGTCATGAATCCTTTAAACCCTTTGTGAAGACAACAGAGTGTAGGTGTGTTTATAAGAAGTCGGTGAGGAAAGTCATTTATTCAGAAAAAATTTGTTTTGTTTTCATCTTTGAAGCTGCTGCTTTACTAAATGTGTACTTCTCTGAGTGTGCATGTGTGTTTAAGATGCTCCAACTTTGTGAGGCATGTTCCTACATCGATCATAGATGCACACACACATACATTAACTCTCTATTCAGTGATGGGATAGGGAGCGTGATGAACAAATAAGGATTTAAACTCTGGAGGTTCACTTGACTAATTAACAGAGAGAAAAGAGTTTCTTTTAAAGAAGCAACAATTCAAGAGAGCAGGAGGAGGCCAAGCAGTAAATCAAGGATCACTGCACAGGCTCATACACTTGACACAAACTTGTATTAAACCAACTCTTTTCAGCTGTTCTGAAACCGAAAACTCTGAGTTTTCCAACTCTGAGTAAGTCAACTCAGAGTTCAGGTCTGAACTCTGAGTTTGTTGAACCGCCTTCTTGAAATAGGCCCCAGGAGGAGGCCAAGCAGTAAATCAAGGATCACTGCACAGGCTCATACACTTGACACAAACTTGTACTGTAGATGCCTGCATATACACACTGCACACACCCACACGCTGCACACACATACTGCATGTGCACATCCTAATTTGCGATTGAGTGTGATAGGACGGGTAAGACAAAAGAGGGGTGGAGAGGTGTTGGCCTCTATTGACTCAAACCCCTGTGGGCTAATGAGAACTTCAACACACAAACACACACAAAACACCCATACACACCCCCATTACTGTCATATTGCTGTGCTGAACTGTGAAAGTGGTAGTTTAGCATCTCATCAGTCCTCCTCTTTCAAATTTATCTGTAGTGAGAGAAACTGCAGTCGCTTGTCAGTGTCCTTGTCGCTCTGTGAGCTCTGTGGGTCACCTGACAACACACACACACACGCAGCACGACACACACACTGAGGTCATCAGAGTGGTGTAATTATGAAGAATAACCAGCCTAACTGGTCCAGCTGTCCTGCTAACATTATCCAGCTAGCTGCCCTAGGTCATGCATTGTCACTACATACTGTATGAGCACACAGCAGAGGGAAAATAGGAAAATGTAAATGATGCATATTTGGAAAAGGGAGTGGCAGCACTGACTGACTGAGGGCTTTTATTTTGGCATGCTGACATCTCCTTGGAAACATACAAGGGACAGCCAGACACCTCACAGAGGAGCTAAACAGTCAATTTAAATCAGCTTCAACTGCAACAAAAACATTTTCACTCTGGCAAATATGAGTCAACCTGGCAGCAGGAAAAACAACAACAATAAGAATGCAATGAAGTCAAACTGATTGGCTACAAATGGCTTTAAAAGTCCCAAAAGGTGCACGGGAAGCCATGGTAGAGTTTGTAAAGACGCTTGTCATGACTGAGGCAGCGGCCACAGCCACAGCTCAAGTGCTGGAGGAGCCACCGAGCTCCACAACCTTTGAACATACAGGAGGCAGGCAGAAGCAGACAGCAGAGCTACGTGACTCACATGACAATAACCACAATCACACAAATGCACAACCACACTGTCACATATCTAGAGTTATGAAGCTTAAATATCAGAAAGCATCCAAGCAAATGGACCAACTAAAATGAATGCCTGAAAACAAAGTGAGAGGGACAGGAAAATAGGAAAAAAAAAGACCTAACAAGAATTATACCAGGACACACAAAATAAGGACAGGGGACCACTCCAAGTGCCCACCTGAGGGTTCCCCTGCATTGTCCATCTGCGCTCCTTTCAGCCCTCTACCCTTCACTCTCTTTTCTCGTCTAGGTCAAACAATCCTTCCTCCCATCTCCTCACTCATCCCCAGTCATTGCCACCTCACTGGAACACTGGCTTAGGCAGAAGATTGTGTTGAAAAAAACAAAAATCAAAGAAAGGGAAGGCAGGGAGGGACAAAAGGATTGTGAAAGAGGTGGGAGAGAGGAGGAGTGTGGGAAGGAACACAACCAGAGAGAGGCATGCTTTGAGAAAGCCAGAGAGTGACAGAGGAGTAAAGATGCCAGTTCTGAGCTCTCTCTCTTCTCCCACTCTGATTGTGCCTCCCTGGCTCTCCGTCGTGCTCGCTCATCTCTCTGTCTCCCCATTTCCCTCATTAAGTTCATCTGAGTGGTCATGCCAAGTTAGCAGGAGAAAACATGGCTTGCTGTGGCCCTAAAACATTTTAGAGACTGGCCGCTGACTGTGGACCTGTGTACGCTGATTGCATGCTGGAGGTCACAGATTGAGCAGGACTACATGTGTGTGTGTGTGTGTGTGTGTGTGTGTGTGTGTGTCTGAGAGAGAGAGAGAGAGAGAGAGACTGTCCTGTCAGCCAGCCAGAGCAGCAGATTACTGACGCTTCACTGGCACATCCCACTTCATCCTTCTCTCCTGTCACCCCGGCAACACCTCCGCTCCCTGCCTGCTTCCCCTGTCCTCCAATTGTCTTCCTCCTTCTCCTCCATCTGTCTCCACTTCTCTCTCCCCACCTCTTTCTTTCCTTGTCTTGACATAACATAAAAGTCTTTAAATGTAATTTCATCTATCGCCAAAATCTACTGTATACCAACAGAGCTAGGACTGCAGGAAGAGTAAAAATCATTCATCTCAGCATCTGGAGCCGCTCTAATAAAAAGAGGTATATTGTATATACACACACTCAGCCCCCAGGGTGCTTCCTTGCTCATATAAAAAGGCAAGAAAAGCATTGTGATAATTAATACCAGTAGGCCTGATCTTAGGTCTATATTAGCACTAAACAAAGCTCATAAACCATACTGAACCAACAAGCGCAGTTAAAAATCAGAGGTGGATGCAGACAAAAGCCTCACGCTCTGCTCTTCTGAGATAGCAATGATGTCTAATCAACATCTTAGATTCAGTCTGGAACTGCTCCTGAGAGGCCTTCATAAAAAGCAGAAAGATGTTGAGGCAGCCCTCGAGGAGAAGGCCACTTCAGAAAGCATCACGGGAATCAAATCTCTGCGGTGAATGAATCTGTTTGGAGCGAGTTTATGTTTCTCTTTCTATGAGGGCTGGTTCAAAATGAATACTCAACTGACTGAATTTGTCTGAGCTTTGTTGTTACAGGCCACTGTCCTGTGTAAGATTTTCAGGTTTATTTTGACAAATCATCTTTTTTAAGAAACTGTCCTAATCATTAGGTTTCAGGTACAAGGATGTGTGGATTTTTGCTGTTTAAAATAACTGTACAATTAATATCTGGATTTTGAACTGCTGGTCAGAAAAATAAAACATCTGAAAACAATTTGAGGATTAGGGGTGATTTCAAAGTAAGAGTCTTTTTGGTTAAAAGAAAATCCCTTATTTTTCTTTCCTAGTAGTGTTTCTTTGTTGAGCATTAGTAGAGCGACAGTAGCAAAAAGAGTAAACTAAAAATACATTCTCTTGATCTGTTTGACTCAGACTGCTGAGGCTTTATATTAACTTTGGATGAAGTTTTGAATATATTTTAGAAATGAACTCAAAAGCCAGTATGAACAGGAAGAATTACTGGTACTAGGAAGAACTACTCCCGTGTTCATTTGGGCCCCATAACTGCAAACATGAAAAATCTATCCTTTATTGTGGAATTAATGCCAAACGGGATCAGTCTGAACTTTGAAGAACACACTGTCCCTCCCTCCAAACACCTCCACCAGTGCCACACTGGTACATTTGCAACAAAGTGGTGTAAAAGCAGCCTAAATCACCTGACAGTTTGGACTGAGGTCGCATTGCCACACATCAGCTATGTATTCAATTTAAAAATAAATATTGAAGTGACCCAAATAAGTACAATGCATGTTATCATGATAACCAAAAAGCTTGCCGGTAACTGCAGTCTAACCACAGATAGAGTGTGTGTGATTGGGAAACAGGTACCCGCCCACCTCTTTCACTTTACAGTAGACTTAAGAGCACAGCATGACACCCAGAGATAACTTAGCTTACGCAGAGCTACACCTGCTGAGCAGTGCAAGGTGAACAATGGCCACATAGGGCTTGACAACTGTTGAACATGCAGATTTACTCCCGACAGAGCTGACTCACATACAAACACATTTTTAACCATTTACTGCATAAGTAAATGTGTGTGTAGATGTGCTCACTGTCTATGTATGCGCAAGTGCTGAAGTGGCACAAGAAGAAAGTAGGTTAAGCTAATGCGGTGAGCTAACTCTTCACAAGGGCATGTAAACAAGTAAACAAAGCAGTGCATCCACGTCCTTTGAAAAACAGCCCTCCACCCATCAAGCAATTTAGTACCTGCAAAGAAATACAAATGAGATATTAATGGATTAGTGTGTCCTCTTTGACCTTTTAATTATTCTATTTTGTGTACAGATCAAGCATGCTGTAATTGCATTAGCATCTCTGTAGGGTTACCTAATGCTCCAGTAGAGAGGGAAGCAAGCTGACAGGATAACACTCCCTTCATTTTGTGCACACTAAATGATCTAGTATGAGTGTGTGCATACCTGTGTTGTTGCAGTAAATCATCTGAGATTTATTAGCTCAGTTACCACTACCCTCTGACGTGCAATTGTGCTCTATCAGCAAATAAATGATTTGGCCATTACAGGCCATAATTGGTTATGGAACAAAGAGTACAATATATTGTCCATGTCTTTGCAGCTGTTTAATACTGCTTTTTGCTGCTTGTATTACCAGAGGACTGTACTTGCCCCCTGGATGGCCCCATTTCCTTGTTTCCTTCCTCTAAGAACTTCCCTGGTGTTAGGTATTTTTAGTCAGATAGATATTAGATAGATACTTTATGTATTAAAAATGTTTAGTGGAGATAGGATGTATAGTTAGACTGTTAAATGCTTAGGCATGCTTATGAGTTTCTACAGGGTACATCTGGTCAAGGATAACTAGAGAGAAGAGTTGATGACTGTCTGCAGACAGGATGTTTAATATTATTATTATGACATGTATAACTGTAGCCTTAGTCATAATATGTTATAAGCTATTATTTCTGTGTAGCTTCTTCCGGTTCTTTCAAACCAGGAACTCTCAATGAGACGAAAGAGACTGCTTTAGATTTTATAAAAAATAACCGTGCTGGTTTATTCAGAGGATCACAGGTAAAATTCACAGGACACGTCCAGAGCTCTCTCACCCCTCTACCTGCGCGCAGGCAGCAGAAAGCTGAGGAACTCTGGACCCCACAACCTATATAATATTAATCATTTTTGGGCTAGCCCATGCTACAAGGGGCGTCAAACCGTGACGCCACCCGATAAGCAAGCTTTGCAGCTGCTCTATCGTTTAGCCAAAACATGAGGAAAAGTCAAGGTGCGTGACTGTTGTTTTCGTGGTGTGTATCTAAAACAATTGGACATAACCTTACACATTAAGACAAATATTAAGACTAGCATTACAGTTGACACTAACAGCAGTTTTCCTGTAACCTTGAAGTGCCTGCAGTCTGCACTGGTTCAGGGTCTTTCATCTTACATCTGCCTGCGTGCAGTTTGGAGGTGCAAGATACCTGAGCGTGTAATGTTAATTTTACCTGTGATCCTTTGAATAAATCAGCACTGTTTTGAAGTTACTTGGACTGTCTCGTCTCTCAGAGTCAGTATGGTAAAAAGTACGGGGCACAACACTGGAGATGAACACAGCTCCTTCCTTGCCATCATCTTTACACTGAGACATCTGAACAACAGGCACCATCTCTGCCTTTCTCCACCATATTCAGTGAATTTGATATTTATTCAGCTCTGCCCTTTCCACTGTCCCTCCATCTCCTTTTCGACTTCTTCCTGCCTTCCAATAGGTTCACTGCGTCTCATCTCTTAACCACAGCATCGCTTATCACAGTCCTGAATCTTTCCATTTCCACCTCCCTACAATTGCTTTCTTCCCCACCATCTTGTCTCTGTTTGACACCTTTTCTTCTTATTCCTTTCTGCCTCAGAGAAGAAGCTGCCATTTTTATTGTGAGGATGAAGTAGGTAAACTCTATGCATCCGCCACTATAAAGCTCTACCTCCATCATACGTGATGTAGGAAAGAAGATAAGTGTATCCATTTATACAAAGGTGTCATAGCAGGTGAAAAGCTCATTTGGTACATTAATCTAAGGACATTTTAACACTGCCTTTGTTTGCTTTGAGTCTTAATTTGAGTTCAACTGTCCACTGTCCTCCTGCCTCCACTGGCCAGCTTTGCATTTATTTACTATTGATTCGATCAATACCCATGCTCCCTAATGGTGTTCTCATCAAATTGTAGCTGCTTACCACCACGCTATGAAAAAATTGACCTTTTGTCAGTGTATGCATGTGGGAATCCACACTACAACCATCTGTACAGAAAGAAGTCAAAAACAAACTCGTCTTCTCTAACTCATACATCAAATGACATGAACGAGGAGGAAATCAAGAAAGCTGACACGCTGTATATGCAAAGAACTCTTATTGAGAACTGGGCCCTGCTCAGTCAAGTGATACAGCAGCGCAAAAACACAAGCCAAGCTGACCAAGGCTGGCTCACATCCTTTCTGATGTTGGCAACTGAACATGTTGTGACTGACCTCCCAGAGTTCAGCGGGAACCACCTGGTTCAGGTGGATTTGAGTATGGTTTCCATGTCAGAATTGTGGTTAGTGAAATGTGTTCAGTACGTTTAAGGATGAAACACCTTTAGAAATCACACCAAATGTTCAGTGTGAAAGTATAAGAGGACAGGCATCAGTTAGGTGGCCCACACTACAGCTAATTAATGCTGTCTTGTTCCAGTTCAACAATCTCTGTACGAACGTCTTCAACTGGGGCATCTTGAGATGAGCTACT